CACTGTAGGTAGGTAGTCTTTGTATTTTCAATGCTACTTGTCAACTCCAGAGTCATATTAGATCAGCCAGGGGTAAGGCTGTACTACATAAAGTGCATACCTTAGCAGTTATAAAAATTACCATTTGGAAGAGATGGGCTAACATATGTAAAAAAAGGATCGGTCATTTTAGGGCTGGGAAGGTGGCTCAGTGGTAGAGAGCTTGCCTTGCATGCATGAGGCCCTGGATTCGATTCCTCAGCACCTTAAACAAAAAAGAAAAAGCCGGAAGTGGTGCTGTGGCTCAAGTGGTAGAGCGCTAGCCTTGAGCTGAAAAGCTGAGGGACAGCGCCCAGGCCCAGAGTTCAGGCCCCACGACTGGACCCCCCCAAAAAAAGATTCATTTTACTTGATTTTAAAATATATTTAGAAATGACTTTTATCAAAACTCTGTATTACTTGGTTCGAAAAGGTGATATATTGCAAGGCAGATTCTAGAAGTTAGAAGCTATTTTCATATTCAAGGTCAAGGTAGAAATAACAGAATAATTGGGGAAAGAAGCCTTGTTCAGACATTTGTGCAGGAGCAACAAGAGGGGATAAAATCTGATCAAAGCGCCGGGCGCCAGTGGCTCATGCCTGTAATCCTAGCTACTCAGGAGGCTGAGATCTGAGGATTGTGGTTCAAAGCCAGTCCAGGCAGGAAAATTAGTGAGACTCTTATCTCCAATAAACCACTAGAAAACCAGAAGTGGCGCTGTGGCTCAAGCGGTAGAGCGCTCGAGTTCAATACCCACGACCGACCAAAAAAAAAAAAAATCTGATCAAAGCTTATTATCTGCATGTATGGAAATATTATGATGAAACCATTTACTTTGTACACTTTAATATGTACCAATAAAATAGTTAAAAATAAAGAAGAATCTTTACTCTGTATGCAATTGCAGAACATATAACAATGGAAAGGGAAGCATAATGTAAGGAATATTTGCTAATGTAATGGATTACTCTAAGATCAGTAAATCAGTATACAAGGTCTATTTGATATGTAGGCAAGGGTGAAAATGGTGAAGAAATCTTAAATTACTTTATAGAAAAATGTGCTGCTTTGAATTAAATTAAAATGTTACATTTTTATTGGTAAAAACAATCAGATTTTTTCCAATGGAGAATTTTGTTGTTGCTTGCATGGAACATTATTTTAGTTGTTTTTGAGCATAACATGTTCCTGTTTGAACATTGATGATGAAGATGATGATGAAGATGATGATAACAATGATGGCATGTATCAGACATTTTGCTCACTGAGTTCAGAGAATGGGCATTTAGAGGAAAGCTCACTGTCTTGGCTTCACATACATAATTGGCATCATACACATCATTGAACAGGTTACAAAGCCTTCCTATCTCCAGCCTGCTTGCTCAGATTCCTTGTCATCCTGAAAACTATTTTTCTATAAGCCACATTCATTTTTTTGAAAAATTAAAAAAAATTGAACATTAATTTTTTAACTGATTCTGTAAATATTTTCTTCCATGCATTGAATAGAATAAGTGGATTCTTATTTACCTTTTGAAATTTTGTTCCAATAGTGCCTTGTCAGTGAAGCCTTTCTGTACCTTCTGTCCTGACTGTGGCTCAGCTGTGATCCCTGTGGCTTGTTAGACAGTGGCTGGAAGCTCCACCTGCTTCCCTGGGGGCTGTACAGCTTGGAGGGTAGTGTTCAGTCATCTTTATACATAACGTGGAACTTCATATATATGTGAGTAGTGATTGAAAAGGCTAAAGGAAAGACCAGTATTATTTGCTTACTCTTTAATTAAATTTAGTTAATCTGAAGCCTATCCTGTTACCTTGTTGTGAGCTTATTATGATAATTATCGAACTGTGTAACTTTGAAACAATTCTGTTACACAGGGTTCTGTATTACAGAACACTACCTTCTTGTTTCCAAAAGGATTTTTTGGTGTTTATACTCATATCATTGCTTATTTGTTATAAAATCTCCTTTTTATTCAGTTATTTTTAGGATCTTCTTAGTGCTTTAAAAAAAATTCCAGGGCTGGGAAGGTAGCTCAGTGGTAGAGTGCTTGCCTTGCATGCTCGAGGCCCTGGGTTCGATTCCTCAGCACCATATAAGCAAAAAGAAAAAAATCCGGAAGTGGCGCTGTGGCTCAAGTGGTAGAGCGCTAGCCTTGAGCTGAAGAGCTGAGGGACAGTGCCCAGGCCCAGAGTTCAGACCCCACGACCGGACCCTCCCCTCCCAAAAAAAATTCCAGGATATATACTTATCAACTCTGTTAAGCCAGGTTTCCATTAATGAACTTTTTTCTGCTAGGTAATACTCTTAGGAGAAAACATGCTTAAGGAGCTTTTAAACATAATTAATTTTATGGCTGTAGTATTGGGTCTAGACTTACACTTGAGCCATGTCCCAGTCCAACCTTCACAATGCTTTTAGCATCTGAAGTCGAAAAACCTTCCCGTATAAAAATTACATTTAGGGCTGGGATGTAGCTTAGTAGCAAAATGTTTGCCTAACAAGTACAATGTCCTGGGTTCGATCCCCAATACCAAAGAAGAAAAGACAAAAAAAAAAAAATAGAGCTAAAAATCACATATAGAGCCAACTGCCTGTGGCACACACCTGTAATCCTAACTACTCAGGAGCCTGAGATCTGAGGACCGTGGTTCAAAGCCAGAGTCCGTGAAACTCTTATCTCCAATTAACCACCAGAAAATCAGAAGAGGCGCTGTGGCTCAAGTGATAGAGTGCTTGGCTTGCCTTGAGCTGAAGAGCCTGAGGGACAGTGCCCAGGCCCAGAATGAAAGCCCCACGACCAGAAAAAAAAAATCACATATAAAATCTTCACGCAAAGAGATACTGCTATATGAAAAAAAAAAACTTACATGAAAGACTGTGATATTTCTCTTGGGTAGGTAGAGATTCTGCTATACATGGCCAAGATTGTACTTGACACAATATGTGCCTCTTTCTCTTTTTTGCAGGTGTCTGGCTGCAGGAACCCAGGTCAACAGCGCTGACCTTGGTCTACATGGTTGTTAGCAGTTTGCCAAGGCATCCCGCATTGTTAGGGATTCAGGAACTTCTTGTTGATTTCCATTAAAAATTTAGTATTTGTTAATTTCTTTTAAATTTTGTGTTGGTTTTTATTCAGTGACTATCTAATTGACAGTTTTGCTTGACTAGAAGCAGAAGTTATGGTTTATTAGTAGGGATGTTTGAGTTTGCATGGTAAAGTTGTCTTGACAAAAATTATTTGGGGAATTACTTGAAAGTTTGGATGATTTGGGGAAGGGTTATTAATCTACAACTATTTGCAAGATGCCTGTGATGAGTGTCATTGAGCCATCTGTCCACACGAGGAATGCTGGGAAACAATATCCTCCCAATAGGAAGGGAAGAACCAATAAATTGCCCTCCCTCAGCTTTGAGGAGTATGAGTTCATTCCCAGGGTGTGTGCCAAGGAGGGCCTCAAGGAGGATGTTGCACATGAGATTCCTTTAAAGGTAGAGGAGAGTTTCAGTATTAGAAATGGTGGAGCGGACAGTGAGGATCAAGCATGGTAAAGGGAGCAGGTGTGGGTGAACATTGGAGAAGGAAGCCTGTTCGTGCAGGTGTCCAGTCTTTGCTACTTACATTCTTTTTTAAAAATAATATTGTAAAGGTGGCATACAGAGGGGTTACAGTTACGTAACTTAGGTAATTAGTATGTTTCTTTTTGAACAGTGTCACCCCTCCCTCATTTTCTCTCAGTTTTTTTCCCTCCCAACTTCCCTCCCTGCTAAGTTGTATAGTTCATTTCCAACATAGGGTTGAGGGAATATCAACAGCCCAAGAAATAAGTGGGCTACAGACTTAAAGAGAGACTTCTCTGAAGAAGAAATAAGAATGGCCAATAGACACATGAAGAGGTGCTCAACATCTCAGGCCATAAAAGAAATGCAAATTAAAACAACACAGAGATTTCACCTCATCCCAGTCAGAATGGCCATTTTGAAGAAAACAATAACAGATGCTGGCAGAGCTGTGGGGGATGTGGCTAAAAAGGAAGTCTATGACGCTGTTGGTGGGAATGCAAACTTGTTCATCCACAGCGCCTCTGGAAAGCAGTATGGGGGTTCCCCAACATGACAAAGGAATGTTTTATCTTGGCTAATACTTGGACAAAGCTTCTTTGATTTGTCAATTTCCAGTATTCAAGATGCTTCTTTGAACGATACTAAGGTTTATCATTGTAACTGTGATTCTAGTTTGGATGGAATTACCCTTGTGCTTTGAATTTAGGCATTATAATGACAGTATTTGAAAATGTGTGACTTTTAGAGTGGAATATAAACTCACTGTTCCCAAAGGGCTGAGCTCTAAGTGCTTTCAGATGTCAGAAGGCTGTGTGATCCCATTTTATTTTCACATTCTGCTGACACATCATTTAGAGAAAGTTCCAGAGCAAGTTGCAATCTCTGCTGAAGAGCAGAACATTGGCATGAGTTTTCACCTAGGTGTGCAGAAAGATTGGTTAGCTTTGTGCGCGTCATAGGCAGAAATCAAGCTTTATCATTAATTTTATATATTTCATCCTGGTCATCTTTGGAAGGCCAGCAGAAGAGTCTCTTGATTTTTATCTTGATGGGGTCATTTTAAGGAACTGGTTGTCTGTGATTGTTCTTTGTTGCTGTGACATGTGTAGTCTCTTAATACATATAGATGAAGAAATGAGCTGCTACATAAAAACATTAGTTCTGCTAAGTGTCATTCTTTATAAGAATACAATCAATCTTTTTGCATTGTTTATAACCATTTTAGGGATACTTGTTGGGACAAGATTATCTTTGCCTAACATAATAATACACATTTTTATAGGTTCTCCCATAATGAGGTTTTATTATATTTCTACACTTCTTTTAGGTACATTAACATGGAGCCACACCATGTTATAATCAATCTTAAAGACAAGAAAGTAAGCTAACATTCCTTCTTTCTTTTTGCATGCATAGGCTGTCCATCTGGCCCAGGCAAGTTTCCAAATTGAAGCCTTTGGTTCCAAATTCATTCTTGACCTCATATTGAACAAGTAAGTTTACAGCCATAATCCTCTTAAGCAGGTATGGTAAAACTTCACTTCTAATATTGCTTTAGTCAAAATAATGTCTGTTGTTGAAACAACTGATACTTTCTAACTGACTACATGTCATAGAACACTTAAAAATATGAATGTCTAAACAGTGAATTCTGTCTTTATTTCCTTTTCTTTCCTGAAAGAAAGAATATTTAATGTTTTAAGTATCTCAAAATAGAACTTACATATTATGATTTTAAGTGGAATAAATATTTGAATTAATGGTAGTTAATTAAATGTGGATAGCAATCAATATATGTAAGAGGTATGAAAAGTTACTAATTGTAGTATAATTAGACTTCAGCCTAGAGATTTCATTTCCTCCAGTCTACCTTTTTTTTTAATGCAATTCATATGACTTCTGTAGGAAGAACAAGTAAGTCGTGACTTATAAGTACTTATTTTGAGAAAGTTCTTTGCTTCACAATTTGTTTTAATGTAGATTCCTAGAAATTTATTTTGGTTGATATTTAAATGCTGTGTTTTAGGTTGTACAGATAGTCTTGTACAAAACATGAATGAATGAGAGATGTTGCCTTAATCAGAACTAAGAAGCTCAGCTAGTAGTTCAGGACTGAGCCTTTCTTTGGTGAAAGAGATTTCCTGTATCATTTCTGTAAGTTCAGACACTGTTTGCAGCCATCATCAGCATTTTGATCAGGATTATTACATCTTTGTAAGAAAAAAAAAAGACAGTTAATGTAGGTGACCACAGCCAAAATCTGAAGAGTTGAAAAGGACTCAATAGAGTAACTATTAAATTTCTTGTATGCCAAATGCTATGAGCTATGCAGAAAAAAAATGCACATCAGCTTGGGTGCTCCTTACTCAAGTATTATTGCAGCTTTAAGTCATAATGAATCAGCAGAACTCAGTATTTTTTCGTTAAAAATATTGCAGGTTTTCCTCTGTGGTCGAGTTCTGTTTCACCATGCTGTATCAGCAGTGTACTTGCCTAAGAGATTGTTTTGCCAAATCTTAGACTATATTGAGTAGCAAGATCTGGCTAATTTTAGTTTAAGTCCTTTCTTTCATACTGAAGTTGAGACTGACATTGCAGGAATCGTATGATAACTACCAACCGTGCTGTGCATTTTGCATAATAAAATATCATGGTCACAGCAGAGAGTCCCAGTCATATAGTTGATGATAGAAAAAGAATTGCACCGTTTATCCAAGGTACTTAGAGTTCTGGAAGCATGCCAAAAATTATTTCTCATATTTAACATGTGAAAGAATTGAACACCCATCAATAGTGAATAGTCCCTGCTTCAAGGAATTTAGAGTCTAGTTGAGGGAGTTTGATAGATAAATATGACCTTAGAAGAGTGTGGTATGTGTCATCTGGAGTTTAATCTGGGGTGTTATGGTAGTGCAACTGAACACAGTGGGCTTCTCCTTAGTACATAAACCAATATGTACAATTAACAGATGAAAGAGAGAAGAAAGGTCCCATAGCAGTCTCTCAACCCAGGAAACAGGAGATTTTCCTGGCAAGGCTTATCCATTCATTTGGGAAAGACTTGTCATTATATGTCTAAGTGGGCACATTTCAGTCTGTTCAATAAATGTCCCAATGGGAATACTCCTGGTACAGAGAATTTAACATAATAGTGAGATTATAATTAGCCAAGTTTATTCACCCTTGGTCATTTAGAAGAGTGACTCAGAGATGTCTGACTAGTTTAAACTGTTCTATGTGTTTTGTTTCTCCCTTTGCAAGGTCTTAATTGAAACAATAACAAAAACACCCACCAAACAACCCTCAAGCCCCTAACTTTGTCAAGTGATGATGGCTCTTGCCTCTAATCCTAGTTACTCAGGAGGCTGAGATCTAAGGATTGTTGTTTAGAGCCAGTCCAGGCAGAAAAGTCTGTGAGATTCTTATTTCCAATAAACCACTCAGAAAGCCAGAAGTGGTGCTATGGCTCAAGTGGTAGTGCTAGTCTTGAACAAAAAAGAAGCTCAGGAACAGCGCCTAGACCCTGAGTTCAAGCCCCAGGACTGGCATACCTGTCAAACAACAACAACAACAACTTGAAGTGATATTGATACTCATTTGAAGTGGCAACAGTTTATCCCTGAAAGCACCTAAGAGCCGTTGCCTAGTAGCTAACAGTCCCAGAGGCAGCTGAGTGTGAGAAGACATCTTGGGAAAGGTGATATTTCAACCAGAACTAGGAAGGAAGGCAAGCATTAGGGAACAGGAGAGAGAGGGAGAAGATAGAAAGGTACATTCTAGTCATGTGAGATAGTGTGTACTAAGGATGCAGGGTTATGTAGGAATGTGAATCAATCTTTCGTTAAAGTTCTTTGTAAATGTGGAGATGATTTAGGTAAACCTAGGGACGTCTTAATATATTATGAGGCAGAACCTAAGTCTGGAAGCTCAACCAGTAGGAAAATCAAAATTCAGGGGACAGTCAGTGATAAAGGTTTTATTCATTTTCCAAAGACTGGAGAAGAGGAAGCTTTGCATATACCAATCTCTCAACTTCAGGGAGCTCAGGGGTTATGAATATAGAAACAGGAATAATGAGGGAGATAAATAGGCTAATGAATGGGAAGATTATGAATGTTGTTACTTGGATTAGATTATGTATGTCTTTTCTTGGTATCTGGTAGGTATCTTTAACATTGAAGGGGCAGAAGGTAACTGGGCAAATCTAGATCAAGTTAACTCTAGATTATAGTTCTGGAAAAAACATTCCTGATTGACTGACATTTTACATGAAGGGCTGAGTAGTCTGACCCAGAGGTTAAGGCAGATAAAGGAGACAGGCACAATAAAAAGGTAGATATGACAAGCCTTTCCCTCATATTCCAGATACTATATTGGATATCTACAGGAAAAACTGACCTTCAGGTCCCCTGAAAAATAACCTAGGCATCTGTCATCATAACATACAGGTCAGAGGTATTCTACCGAAGCCTCCAACGTTAGTAATCTTTAAGTCAGTGAATAGCAGATGGAACTAGAGTAAGTTTATTTAGGATTTTTCTTAATAACAAACTCAATGAAGATCTGATACTTCCTACTCAAGTGCTTGACTTTATTCTCTGCTGTAAAAAGTCAAGGGGAATAAATAGAAGTCTTGCTGTCAGGAAGTACTAAAAGGTGTGTAGTGGGAATACTTTCAAGAAATCTTCAATTGGTGAAAATCATTAGGATTGATTTGATGTGGATGGCAAGGCAGAATGAAGAGTAAAAGTGGGTGGAAATACCTTGATTGGACAGCTGGATGAGCATTCCTGGGAAATAAGTAGGCTACTTGATAGGGAAAAGAGAATATGAAATCAAAATAGACATAATAGATTTGAGGGGTTTTAGGATATGATTGGCTAAACAAATCCACAGGGAGAGGTGGGAACTACAGAGTAAATTTAGGAGTCATTTCTATAGAACTATTAATGACAAATGTGCCTATAAATGATGTTTCTTGGGGAGGAGAGCTTAAGCTAGGAAGAAGGGGGTGGGAAAAGGAACCCATGAGGGAAGATGAGAAGGAGTGTTTGAGGAAGTAGGAGAATCAGATGATTAAGTTGATAGTTTCAAAATAAAAAGGTGTGATCTACAGTATTACATGTAGTAGAATGATCTTATAAGATAAGGAGTAATAATTTCCCTTTGCATTTTCAATGGAATTGTCACTGGTGGTCTGAAGGTAGCAGTTGCAGTGAAGCTATGTGGGCAGAGCCAAGTTACAGTGGGCTAGGAATGAATGACAATTGGCAGGTACCTACTCAGAAGGTTGAGTAAGAAGAAAAGAGGTAAAAAGGTATGGAGGTCAAGGCAGGGTTTTTTGTTTTTGTTTTTTAGTGATGCTGAAACAAATTAATAGAGTGAGAGATGAAGAGGACTAGAGTAAAAAATACAGAAGAGAGGAGCAGGGTGCTAGTGGCTCATGCCTGTAATACTAGCTACTCAGGAGGCTAAGTTCTAAGGGTTGTGGTTCAAAATCAGCCCAGGCAGAAATGTGTGAAACTTTTATCACTAGTAAATGACTGAACAAGGCCTCAAGTGGAGCTATAGCTGAAGTGGTAGAGCTCTAGCCTTGAGCACAAGAAGCTCAGAGCCAGTACCCAGGCCCTAAAGTTCAAGCCGTAGAATTGGCACCAAAAAAAATTTCAGCAAAGAGAAGAGATACTCTATAGAAGGCATTCAGATATCCTTCTTCCACTGAATTGAAAACATACTTGTAAGACATTCAGTACTTCTCCTGTTGCCTTATTGTATTTACCAGTTACCATTTTTTTAAAAAATGGCAAGGCTTTCAGGTCATTGAATATTTGGATACTTGAATTTTCAGACTACTTGATTGGCTTCAAGGTGTCTACCCATCTTGCAGCATGCTTTCCTGTTTATTTGAAGCAAAATCTATCACTACACATCTTCTGACCTCTTCCAGGTACAAGAAAAGGAAGAATTCTTAGGATATACCAAATGTTAAACTTTCTAAGTTAATAAGGCAACAACAATATTCCTAAGAAAAACTTCAGTGGGGAGAAGGTAGGGCTCTTACCTGTCTCTCTTCTACATTTGTGTTCATCAACATTCAGGGAGAGAGAGCTTTCCTTGGGTGAAATCAATGTGCTAACTCTTCAATGAGCAGTTGTAACCTACCTGTGGCCCCAGAACTTGGAGAGTAAGGACTTTGCTTTGTTAGGAACCAAGTAAGTTAAGGGAAACTATTTGTATTGGTTGAAGATGATCCAAATGAAGACTTAAGTAAGAGTTAAGGCAGGATTAAAAAGATTTCCATGATGCATTCAGTACAGTAACTCTGTTTTTGGGAATCAGAGGTATTTGATTTAAGATGAATATCTAGAAAATGCCAATTTACAGAAATATATGCACACAGTAATTTGCTCATTAAAAGTAGTTCATGCAGTGCTTTTGAAAGAAGGAAACAGCCACACTGATGTAGCCAGTTAGGTTAAATAAAGAACCCAAT